TGCTTCCTGCTGCTCTTTCGACTGCCTTGTTGATGAACTTGGAAGCTGGGGGAGAATGGCTTTTTGCGGGGGGGTTTAGTCCCGTGAACAGTGGAGGAATGCATAGCTGCCTTTTGCCCTCTTACAGCCTGTAGCTTATACAGGAAACCCATACCAAAGTCTTTTTCCCAACTAAAAGTGCATGACTCCCTAAGCAGGAAAAAGCTGGCATTATTCTGCCTCATGCATAAATTCCGCTGGTGAGTTTGAAATGGCAAGCCGCCCGGATGGTGCACCCTCTAAAACCAGGGGTCCCAAACCTTTTGAGCCTCCTGTCACAAAATGGCTACTGGAGGAGGTGGAGCCAGCCATAGAATGGTTGCCACAGCTTAACTTCAGCAATACAGTGTAGATCCTTGTTCTGCGGTAGCAGCTGGTGCCAAAGCAACATTTTTTTTAAAAAAAAATCTGTATAGCTCATCAAATCTTCAGTAATCAATCAGAAGCCTTGGTGGGCAAAAGTGCTCTCTGGCCCCGCCCACTTCTTAAAGCCTCCGTGGTGCCCATGGGCACCAAGTTGGGCACCCCTGCTCTAGTCTATTTCTGCAAGGGCTACAGATCACGGAACAACGTGCGACATACAAGGCTATTTTTGGGCAGGAACGCATAGGAACGGAGTTCCGGCTGGCTCCCAAGTTGGCCACGCCCAGCAGGAACTCATCAGCATAATAGGCCACACCCAACGGCAGACACTCATTAGGATTGGCTGCATTAGGGGTGTGTGGCCTAACATGCAAAGGAGTTCCTGCTACAAAAAAAGGCTCTGGGTTTCGACAACAAACAAGGTAAACAGAATAACAAGCAAAAGGTGGGTGTGGCTGGATAACCACACTTCTGGTAACATGGGGGTGCGGCCTAATATGCTAATGAGTTGTGCTGTCAGGGGTGTGGCCCAATATGCTAATGAGTTCCTGCTGGTGGGTGTAGCCTATTATGCTAATGAGTTTCTGCTGGGCTTTTTCTACAAAAAGAGCCCTGCATACATGAGGCATCTCATAGGGCTGGTTTGTTACTGAACTGGTTGGCCACCTATTGTCAGTTGAACACCTACGATTTGATCGCTGATAGATGTCAGACATTTCACAAAACTGGCGATGCTGCTGTGTAAACATTTACACTTCATTCTGACATCATTTGTGAGCAAAGGCAGGAGGACTTGCCACTAGCCGCCTACTGGTCGGGGCAAGTCTAGCAGCACACCAAAGCATCTCCAGCGGGCCACCTGTTAGAACTACAGTGCAGACCTCTGTTTTCAAATAACTGATGTTCCTGTATTTCAGTTTCGGTTTCATTTCCCCCCCACAAGTTAACGGGTTTGTTTGTCATTAGCATCAGTATCAAGTATGTTGATGGCTGAAGTATACCTTTTTTGCTCTAATAAAGTGAATGCTTTAAAATACCTGATCAGTGTTTGAATAATCAAATGGACATCCCTAGTTGGTAAGAACATGAGAGAAGCCAATGTCGGATCAGGCCGGTGGCCCCTCCAGTCCACCACTCTGTGTCACACAGTGGCCAAAAATACCAGGGTTAAGCTGACACTAAATATTATAAACATACAAAATGTATTCAGGTGTACACATTTTTAAAAAACTTAGACTCATTAAAAATATTCACATTCAGACATAAAATTTATGTCTGAATGTGAATATTTTTAATGAGTCTAAATTTTTTTTAAACGTGTACACCTGAATACATTTTGTATGTTTATAATATTTAGTGTCAGCTTAACCCTTGTGGATTCATAGCAGCTTTTTGGGTTGAGTTTTCTTTCTCCCCCCCCTCCTTATTTCCCCTTTCCCTCCCCCCCTTTTTTTTGTTCGTGTCAAAAATATCAGGGGCCATCGGGTCCACCAGTGGGGCCAGGGCACGAGAAGCCCTCCCGCTGTTGCCCTCCCCCCCAGCACCATGCGTCTGGACTGCACAAGTGTGGGTCTGACACAACTCTCTCCCATATGAAATTCACTGCACAAAACACTGTGAGCCTTCTCCCTGACATGCTAGTTCTCTGCTGAGGAGCAGTCCATTTACTTGCAATCTGCAGGTACAGAAACAGGATGGAGAGATCATACTCCATATTGGTATACAACAGTTTCATTTCCACGTCCATCGCTAAAGGCCGGATCACCCCATCAGCAGACATTCTTTACAGTCCCAGGGTGTGTGTTTCAAATGCGCAAGGTGTCGTGGGCCTGTATGCAGAAAGGATCTTCCGTTAACAGCAAGCAAGTGGTTTATTGTATTACGCCACTGGCCATTACAAAATACAGAATAGAGCAGAGCAATCATAAAAAGTTAAAAAGCACCGTTAATATCTGGGTTAAAACTAACTACTAGTCAGCAATAAAAAGAAAGATAAAACAGATTTAATCACCATCAGGTAGCCTGCCCCTTAGATCTAATCTTAGATGCTGCTAAAACAAACAGGGAAACTCTATTGGATTGTTAAGCATCGTTATCTGAGAGCAAGAACGCAGCCTTCTCAGTTTCTGGGTATGCCTGCATAACCGATAGAATTCCTGTTAAAATTTCTCTCTTGGAGTGCTGTATAGCGGACAGTAGAGCATGTAGTGAGGAAGGTCCTCCACCTCTGGCAAGCCACAAATGCAGAGACGTTGCTCTTTTGGAGTATGCGAATAACGGCCAGCCAAAAGAGCCGTTTGCATAGTTTGGAATCGTAAAGCTGTAAAGGGCACTCTGGGGTTATAGTTAGAGATATTGACTAGGTAACTCGACCTGCGGTGGTCAACTTTGCAATATTTATACCAGGGAGCCCCTTTAGATTTCAGGATTAAAGAACGATCGTGCATCAGCCTCGTATATCCAGTCGCTAAGTTGTGAATTCTCAGCTGAGGCCCTGAGAAGGTCATCTGGGATGGTGCATCTTTGGATCATGGTATTTCTTCTGTTAATAGAAACACTGGCTGGCAGGTCATGCCAGAAAACAGAACTAAATCTAAAGACGCTGTTTTGCTTTGTGCAATCTACTGTAGCTGGAGTTCTTATTTGTGCGGCTTGGGAACAGCAGTGTGTGTGTGTGGGAACTAGGCAACGGCAAACAGACACCAGAAACTCATAATCGTAAAGCTGTAAAGGGCACTCTGGGGTTATAGTTAGAGATATTGACTAGGTAACTCGACCTGCGGTGGTCAACTTTGCAATATTTATACCAGGGAGCCCCTTTAGATTTCAGGATTAAAGAACGATCGTGCATCAGCCTCGTATATCCAGTCGCTAAGTTGTGAATTCTCAGCTGAGGCCCTGAGAAGGTCATCTGGGATGGTGCATCTTTGGATCATGGTATTTCTTCTGTTAATAGAAACACTGGCTGGCAGGTCATGCCAGAAAACAGAACTAAATCTAAAGACGCTGTTTTGCTTTGTGCAATCTACTGTAGCTGGAGTTCTTAGTTGTGTGGCTTGGGAACAGCAGTGTGTGTGTGGGGGAACTAAGCAACGGCAAACAGACACCAGAAACTCAATGAAGCATTGTGATACTTATTAAAATTATATCCTGCTTTTCTTCCATAGAACGGGGCTGCCATAGGGTCCCCTGTCTCCCGTTCAGGCAGTAACCAGACCCAGATATTTAACTCCATCAAGGGGGCCTTTCCAGCCATTTCCTGGATGCTTTCTCATTCCATTTATCTGATTTATATACTTTTAACCAATCAAAGCACCCCCAGATGGCTTGCAAGACTATGATTTCCATAGTCCTTTAGATATTTTGGTGCATAGTGTAAGAACAGGATGAATATGAAGACAGCCAGTGAGGTGTGGTGGTTAAGAATGTGGGCCTGGTATCTGAGAGAGCCAGGTTTGAATCCCTGCTTGCGTCGTGGTCATGGAAGCTCGCTGGGTGACCTTGGGCCAGTCACGCCCTCTCAGCCTAACCTAGTGAGAATAAAGCAGAGGAGAAGAGAATGGCGTTGGCCTCCTCCTTGGCTCCCCCACTGGGGACACCGGGGGGGGGGTACAGATGAAAGAAAATGAAAATGAAAAAGCAGCATCAGGAAAATCTTTTTAAATGTCAGCAAGTAAAAAAGAATTCTTAGCAGTTATGAGAGCCGCAACTTCCAATCTAGTCACTGCAGGGGTGGAAGTATTTGACTGGATACCATTGCTTACTTCCTGTGCAGGAGCTGTGGCCCCAGGGCAGACATACTTGGGCATACATGGAATCCATCCCTGAAGACTTTCAGAGCTCAGCGACATAACGCTGTGGCAAAATGTTGTTGCTTAGCTACTAGGAAACATAAGCTTATTTTAGAGGCAAAAATTGTATGATTTTCTTATCAACATTATTTTACGTTACTGATTTTAACTTTCTCTTGTTTATGTTTTTATACTGTTCCCATGTTATTGCTGTTTTTAATAACTCCAATTCTATTAAATTTTCCAGGCGGATCTGAATAATTTAATATCTCCCTCCCCCCTTTCATATTGTTCTAACAAAATCACCTCCAAGGTGGCCAAATTTTGCCCCTCGGCCAGATCAACAAGGAAGCAGCGGGTCAAGTCTCCTCATTCATTGTCTCTGCTATCGAAATCAGCCTGCCAGGCTGCCTGGGTATCTTATTGTTTGCAAATGTGCTGATAACTCTGAGGGTCAACCGTGCCCAACGCTCCCTCTAAGCTGTGGAGTCCTATGAGCAAAAATTCTACTTTGTGAGCTACTGGCATTAAAGTTGTGAGCGAGCGATTTGGCTACTGCATTAAATTAGTTTGCTCCAGAGCCGTCCTTTCTGAGTTAAGACAAAAATCTGTGGAGGCTAAAAAACTGTGAGCTAGCTCACACTAACTCAGCTTAGAGGGAACACTGACCGTGCCTGATCTATGATTGTAACTAATAAAGAAAGAAAAGGAATCCATCCCTGGAGGACAATACTTATCATATGAACCTGGCTGAAGTTTGCGGGGAAATTCTGACTCCCATTTTCTGTTTTCTTCACTCCCTTCCAGATGTGCTAACATTGACCTGAAAACACAAGAGGCCTATGAGCTGGCGGTCAGAGGGTTAATTCGACCAATGGAGAATAGCCCTCCCCTGATCACAGCCATTCGATGTCTCCAGTTTGCACCACCTGAGTTCCACTTAGGTACGGCCGGGGGCTGTGACTATGTATATCCTAAGGGAGGCCTTACCGGCTGTTTCAAACCAAAACACATTCCCAGATCTCACTGCTGCCAATGACTTAAGAGGGGGGGTTCATCTGGATGGGGTGGCAAATGGGGTCGAGCTTCCGTTGAACAAGATCTTCTTGTAATCCCATTATTTAGAGCTCAGTAGTTTCCAGTTGGGAAAAAGGGGGGGGGCAAGCGGAGGGCCTTTGAGGATTTGTGGGAAGGGGAGGAACAAGTTGAAATTCCCCCCAGATCTCCCCACTCACCCTCTGTCCCCTCTCAGGGGTGGGGTGTCTCCGCCAATGCTCCCCCTAAGCTGTGGAGTCCTTCTTGATGAGCTCCTGGCATTGAAGTTGTGAGCGAGCGATTTGGCCGCTGCATAAACTAGTTTGCTCCGGAGCCCTCCTTCCTGACCTAAGACAAAAATGGGTGAGCCGGAAGCTAACAAACTGTGAGCTGGCCCACACTAACTCAGCTTAGCGGGAACACCTTTCCCCCCTTGACACTCAGCAGCTCTCGACCATCCCTAGAACACTTTCAGTTCTCACTAGGGCAATTTCTAAGGATTCTCCCCTTTTCAGTTAATTTACAAAGGTGCTTTTCTGCATACCTGGGGAGTGGCCTACCTTGCCTGTGGGTGGCCCCGTTGTAGGCCTTTCATCAGCTGCATGGGCTGAGCCACCTTACTGTCAGACATAGTGATGCATTACTGAGGGTGCACGTTGTGCTGTCTCCCCACCCCGCCACCACAGCACTTCTCACCAGGGGTCATTTCATAAAAAAAGAGGTGCAGGAGCTCATTAGCATAACTTATTTGCATATGCCACGCCCCCTGACATTACCGGGAGTGTGTCAGAAGGCAACACCCACCGCTCAG